CTTGGTCAGGTGTCTGGTTTAAATTAAGATGGATTAGGAACACATTCCAAATGTCTGTAAAAGCTGATATTGCTCTTGTGGGTGGATGTGAGTGGACTGATCCAGTGCCATGTGTGTGGTGATTTTATTTATTTATTTATTTATTTTTTAAGTTTAGAAAGATTGTGTGCTTGGAGACAGAGAAATACGGAGTTGGTTTTTATATTTAATTGGCTGATGATCAACTTATGTAATGCTACTAAGTAAACAGAATAATGGAGATGGAAGGATTCTGTAATGCAAGATAGTGGAGAGTTTCTCTGTCACCGCTCTCCAGAGGGACTGACCTGGTTGGCAGGCCCAGGTGCATTGTGAACAAGTGGTTATGCCAGTTAAGCCTATTTTAAAAACTTGTATCAAAAACAGATGTAACAATAACACTACCAGTAACTAATTGTCTCTCCCAATCCTGACCTCTGGATGGAAATCTGTATATACGTAACATCTTGTCTGTGATCAAAACTATTCACAGATCTCGCATCAGAAAAGGTATAATATTTAAAGTTTCAATATTATTTTCCTGGAGTTTTTCTGGAATTTTCATTATCTCTTCAGTTAACATAGAGGGTTGGATTGTTGGTTATAATCTTTGATTTAATTATGGATTTTAGTTGGTACTGAATAAGGCACAAGTAAAACTCATCACAAAATCAGTGCACTGTCAAAAGCAAGAAGTGGTCAAGAACATGACACTGAAATGCTTTTTAAATGATTTTGCTGGCACCTACATTTTATTTGTCTCCAAACTGAGGGTTGATCATGGTACATGAGGTTACCAAACTGAGGGTTGATCATGGTACATGGTTATAGGGAGTTGTAATTAGCATTTCAGAGAGATTAGATTGCAGCCATTGGTTAGGCTATGGACAGTTGTGCCACCAATAACAGGTCAGAGAGCCTCTCCTGTGCCCCAGCTGTCCTTGCACAGTGCAACTTTGCTGCTGATTCCTCATCCTCTAAGCATAATAGTAATACCATCATTGGCTTTTAAGGAGTTTATATGTTTTTATGTGATTTAGAATTAACACATATTGATGATGTGAATGGATAATATATTTCAACAAATGCTATCATTTCTATATGCTATCCTAATTAAATGATAAACTGTGTAAAAGTATTTCAAAGGTACAAAATATATCTTAAATGATATGAATATTAGTTTCTACATAATGGACTGGTTAAGACTATGTGAAATTATAGTGGGACCAGAATGCATCTTCCACTGTATTTTCTAATTTTTAATTCCTTTCTCCATCATATTCTTTTTTGTATTATTCTCTGGTCTCAGTACAATAATATAGCATTTTGGAATAAAAACTGTGACAAAGTTTCAAGTGTAACAAAGGCCCGAGCCTTTGTTACACTCTGCATACCCAGGGTCGGGGGGCCTCCTCAGTGTCCTGTGGAATAGGCACTTCCCCTCTGCTTTGACCAGGTAGCTCAATCCCAGACTAACATAATTTTTTATTGTTGATGTGATTTCAACAAATGCTATAATTAACATATTCCATCTCAATGAAATGATATACAGTATAAAAATGAAAACATATTATTGTGTAAAAATTATAATGGCACCAGAATGCTTTTGCCACCATATTTTCTAATTTTTAACTCCCTTCCCCATCATATTCTTCCTTGTATTCTTCTCTGGTTTCAGTAAGATAATATAACATTTTGGAATAAAAATACAAATGAGCAGTCCAAAACTGGAGGCCAGAATAGCAAATATCTCTACAGC